ACATGTAAGCATGGTCATGTTCCCTATCATGTATTAAACTCAGGGGAGCATGGCTCTCGATCCTCAGGCCATCAATTGGGCATGATAGCCTAAGAGACCAAGCTTGACATTTAATGTAAAATGCATGCAACACACAAATGAGGACCAAGACCCTATCATGTCAAAGTCAAGGGGCCTCGGTGACCGAGGGTTGAGATGTGTTTTGTCACTTGATGTACAAACACCCCTCACCCCTTAGGTTTGGTTTGACACCCCAAACCAAACAATGTAATGCATGTATGCAATATGGCTCAAGTTATGCAACATGGCTCCACTATGCAAATGAGGCTAAGTAAACAAACATGCCAAATGCACAATGCTAGGCATGCAAGGTGTAATGCAATGCATTCAAACATGTGACCTAAGACATGGAATGCAACTAGCCAATAATATGCAATCATGCAAGTAAGATACCATGTGTAACACGAATCCAATGCAACATGATCATGCAATGGTGGATCCAAACCACAAAGGGGGGAGACCTCAGCCCACCCAAAACAGTGACCAAAAATGTCCAAAAAAGTGGACAAATACCCAATGTAAACAAGCATGCCAATAGGCCCAAGGACTAAGGCACAAAGTGGAGCACTTTGCTACCACTAACAAGGCCACTCATGGCATGAACCAAGCAACCAAAACAGATTTTTAACATGTGAAATGAGTCACCCCAACCCCATGATATGGCAGCCCAAATGCTTAAGCATGGTAGCATACACAATGACCACCCTTTAAGGCACAAAACTACAACACTTCGAGGCAATGAATGAGACGCAAATGATAATGTAAGACCACATTGTATGGACTGAAACATGATATTAAATGATGTCGAATGATGATAACAAGCTTATGCTAAGCATGTTAGTGACCCACACAACCAAAGCTTACAAGCCAAAATGCAAAGCAACTATATCAAGCATGCCAAACATGACAAAATTAGTGGCCAACAGACCTTAAGCATGACAAATCATGGCCAAATACTTCACAAGGTTAAGTCAAAACAAGAGGATATGCTAGGCTAAACACATGGCACGCTTCTAGGCAAGATGGAGAATTACAAAGCAAGTATAAAATGCATGCTAAGGGCCAACAAAACACCATTGGACAGAGATATAATACGACCCAAAACACCCAAAAAAACTCTGAAATGGTACCAAATGCAACTACTCATGCGTGCTATCCTTATGAGCCAAAAACATGCAAAAGTGAGGGGCAAAGGGAGGGGGGTGTCCCTCCCCTACACAAGACCTCAAACCTCCTTCCTCACCACTGAAAATCATTTCAGTGGTGAGAAGACCAACACACCAAGGTAAACAAAGCTTAAGGAAAAAGCACAAAAGGAGGCCAAACAAGGCCTAAGAGGGGGATTTCGACCCTCAATGCTAAAACACCCTTAATGAAAGTTCTTGAGCATAAAAATATAAGACTTTTTTCAGTTATACACAAAGTCTAAAACAGAAAGAAAGATAGGTCAAAAGACAATGCAAGATTGGGGAAACTAAAGTAAAGTGATTACCCTTGAAGAATCCTTGAAGAACAGTTGGTCCAGCCACCCTCTACTGACCAAAATCAGTCCAAAACCTCAACAAACAACCCTCAATGCCTCTCAATCTCGGAGCAAGGTGTAATGGTGTGTGTATTAGTGCAAAAGTAAGGTCAAAATGCACTTTTAGGCCACAAAACACACACAAGGGATGAGAGGGAGGGGAATATAGAGAGAGAGAGTGTATATCAGATGTGTATATGTATATCTCTGGTTTTCTTCTCCAAAGACTCTAACCTTAGACAAAGGAGGAAGAAGGACTCTTATATAGGCCAAGAAAAGGCTCTAAGCTTCTCAAGGAAGCTAAATGAAAAGGGGCAAAGGGTGCAAATGGTCCATGGCTTCTTGGAGAAGCTAGGACAGCTGGCCAAGCTTCCCCAAGAAGCTTGGCCAAAGGGGGCATCCTTCTAGAAGGAACTAGGGGGTCAAGGGTGCAAAGGGGTCATCCCCGTGCATGGGGAGGAGTGATAGTGCATTCCACCTGGCACAGCTAGCATGCACCATACCTGAAGGGTGCAAAGGGTGCAAATCGGCCAGCAAAAAAAGTCACCGGCCGAAACAAAATGCTGGTCGGCAAAATATAGTGCCGACCGGCCATTGGCTTTAAGAAAACACTGCCGGTAACGCCAATAAACGGCCGGTGGGGGTATGGGGACAGCCGGTGGGTTGTGGGGATGGCCAACAAGCCATTCCCTGCCTTCCAAGGCAAAGCACAAGTGTTTGGTGTAAAACCAAACACCGAACAGTTGAGTTAAGAGATCCTGAGGCAAGGCGCGCAGCCGAGACCTCCAGGAACTCGAGACGAACACAAGCACGGATGATCACCGAGTGTTCCAACGGTGATGTCCAAGTCTTGAGGACGGTCAAAAATGGGGTGTCTACAACGAGCACGAAATAATCTTCTCGTATAATCCTGTTGATCAAGTTTGCGCTTCCTCCAAATGTCATCGCTTTACTCCCTAAAAACACAAACGTGAGCTAGCCGGCGGGTATGTGTCGGATACCTCTCCGATGCCTAAGTCAGCAAAATAGACAAATAGACAAAAGTTCTGTGTATTCGAGAATCAAAGTTGTGATACATGTACATAGGTTTTGTTGTGAGCTTTTATAGTTTTTGCCTGGCACAATCCTAGTAGGACTCTTATTCCTCAATGTAGAGTTCTCCTAGGAATCACACTCCTGAAGATAATGCTTATCCTTCAACACCCTTCTCACTGCTTAAATCAAGTGAGATGGTTTTACCATGGTAGAATAATAGTATGACTGAGCTAACACTAGCCCTTTAACATACTCAATCTGGTGCTGTCATATGCAATGCCTAGCTCGGTCCCTGTCCACTTATACCTCGGTTTGGTTATTTAGACCGAGCTAACCGCAGCAGCCTCTGACCGAGCCAACAAGGGTGAGGTCCAATTTAGCGAAGCCAAAACACCTCGGCCCATAGCTCGGCCCAAAATTCTCCTGGCCCAAGCTTGTTAGTGTTTGGACCGAGCTACAGCAGCTCTTATCTCAGTTCGACGTATGGCCCAACTTCCAAAGAAGCCTCTTCCTTAGCTCGGCCCAATTTATTTATAAATTACCCTCTCATTTACAATCATATCTAGTCATTGTCATTCAAATTATCATGTGCATTGTTCTGTAGTTAGGTATTGTAAAGCTGCTCTTAAGAGAATTATTAGCTGGCTCAAAATCAGACCATAAACTCAAATGTTGGATTGGGGACGAGTGTCAAAGCACCGTACCTTTTGATGATACCATCGAGCTCAGAAGTCCCTCCGTGGAAACTCAATTGGAGAACATTGATGGTGATACTGAGGTACTAGATATTCCTGATTGCGTTGAAGATATAGCAACTCAGATGGCAGATGACTATGAGAATGAAGTTGTGCTTGACAGTGATGATGAAACAGTGCATAAAACTAAGACGGAAAGGAAGATTTCAATTAGGAACATGTTTGATGGGAATAAGCGATCTGAAACTAAATGTGAGTCCCAAGATGGCGAAAAAGATGGTGCGCTACTTACTTCTGAGTGTGAAACTGCAAAGCTAAACTACAATGACTCTCAAGAAGCTGGAGAGTTATCACAAGCCAATGCGTTGGGTTTTCTGGATCACTATTTGTCATTTAACAATATGAATTTATCTGAAGAAGTCTCATTGACAAAGACTGGTTGGCAGAAATCACCTACAGTTTTATGTACAAAGGGGGTTCAAAGTTTGGCCAGGAGAGTTACTCGTCGGACCTCATTTGGTATGTCAAGAACCTTTGAATGGGATGATGACCAAATTGATGATGGAGAGGGGAATCTTTTGAACAATAGTAAGGCTTTGCTCTTAAATGGTGAAGTCCCTGAACCAAGATCTGTTACCAGGAAGCCGAATGTCCAAAGACAAAGGAACCTAGGCATTTAGTGAAAGACAAATTGCAAGGGGAAATGATGGGTGCAGAATTTTCCAATTCAAGTTTAATTTCGCACAATTCTAAGAAGGTTGGTGTTGTCGCTCAAGTATCTGAAATGATATTTTTCAAGGAGATAGATGTTCAGCTAGATGCAGAAACATCTGGGCGGCAGTTAGATCTTGCTCCCATTGGAAAGGATGTGCCGGATATATTTGATATTGGTTTTGATACTCAAATGGCTGTTGAAGCTATGGAAGCCTTGTTTTATGCACCCCCTCCCAACTCCAGCATTGATTATGCTCATCAAGATACAGAAAACAGTATTAAAGATTCTTCAAAAGGTTCCTTTTCTACAAGGGTTTGTTCTAATTCAGGAGTCACTACAAGAAAAATGAAGCAAACAAATAGGCCTTCCAAGAAGTTGAGTGGAAAAATCTCCAGTTCATTTCAAAAGAACACAAAAAATCAGAAAGAGTTGGATCCAGAGTTACCAGAAGCAAAGAAAGTGAAGAGGGGGAAGTCATTGGCCGAAAACCATTTCAATTCTGGGAACCCCACCAATGCAAAGAAACACTCATGTGGAAGCTCATTTAAATTAATTGAACTAGGAAAGGAAGATAAAGCTTTGGAGAGTGATACCATCAAAGAAGTTGACAAAAAAAATTCGTCAATATCTGTGAAACATGACTCACTTGGAGAAAGGCCATTACAAGGGAAATGTACGAACTTTTCACCCATTACTCACTAGACTAGGCGGCGGTCATCAATATATCTGTTGAAAGAGACTGAGGATCCAATAAATAGTCCTGGGCAAAGTATGAGTGGTGCTATGGAAGTTGGTGTCCTTGAGAAAAGAAGGAAGAACGGTCAAAATGCTGATATGTTTCAAGTGTTAAAAGTATGAGGAAAACGCTGCAAGGTAGGTTTGCATGTGTCCGAAGAAGCTACAAACATAAAAGTGAATCAACAAGCACAAAAAGAGATTGATGTAGATCCAGGAGACATCCATTTGAAGCTAGATGTATGGAGTTATCCTAGAGGGAAAAGACAAAAATCGAAATGTGCCATGTCCTTCAAAAGGAGTAACTGCCACCTGTCTCCCACCCACATTGGTTGAGGGAGAAAAAGGCAATGAGTATTCTATTGGAAGTCACAAAAAGGCACAAGGGAATTCTGAAATCAATTGTTTCAACTTGGATGTAATCAAAAAACCACGATCGTCAGTACATGCTTGCCAAAAGCAAACTTTACAGGTAAAGAAATATGACGAAAGCTTTTTAAGGCAGAGCTCATATGAACGAAGTTCGGCAGATGTTGTTAATTGTAGTTCTATAGTCATGGTTAAAAAAATAACTTCCATAAACCCAGATAGAGTCAAGGCCGGGAATGCTAAGGCATCTCTTCCAAAATATCCTAGCCCTGTCAACTTTACCGAAAAGGGTGATGAAAATTGCAAGCAATTTTGCAACAAAAGTCTTTCAAAATTCCCCCTTATGAAAGAGCTTATCAGCTTGGGGATTCCTGGTCCACTACCTGAGTCTGCATCAAAATATTTGAGAAGGCGAAGAGATGTGGCTAGTGTTCGTGTCTTGTTCAGCCAAAACTTGGATGATGATACAATTAAGTAGCAGAAAAAGGTTTTGTTTTGTTTTGTATTTTTCTTTTTTTTCTTTCTTTTTCCCTCATTGCTACTCTAAAATCAGCAAAATGATCAATTATAGATTATCTTTCCTGATGGCATTTCACCTTACAGATTTTGGCACGACTAGACAGTTCCATAGTATCGTGTTGTTCAGATGCTACACATTTCATAGCTGATAGATTTGTACGGACAAGGAATATGTTGGAAGCTATTGCTCTTGGTAAACCAGTGGTGACACATTTGTGGCTTGATAGTTGTGGACAAGCTAGCTGTTTTATTGATGAGAAGAATTACATCCTGAGGGATGCTAAAAAGGAAAAAGAAGTTGGCTTTAGCATGCCAGTTTCATTGGTTCATGCAAGACAACATCCACTTCTAAAGGCAATATTACTAGATTGCATGTTTAAATTAAAACATCTGTCTGCTGATTCAGTATGCATTATTTGTTTGCTGCTCCACTGCAGGATCAAAGAGTCTTCATTACCCCAAACACAAAACCTAGTAAAGATTTAGTTACAAGCATGGTTGAAGCAGTGCAAGGCCGGGTATGTATTTTTTCCAATGTCTTTAATTCCATGGATGGAAGTTTGTTCAACCTCTTTTTATTACCTTCTGTTGATCTGTAAATATGGGCTTGTAATGGTATATGGTTGAGTAATAGATATCGATTTTGCAAATTTATGGACTATGTGATAGTCATAGATTTTTACACGAGAAACACTCAATAGTTGTCAATGGGAACTTTGAAATAAGTGTACCACTATACTAGTTGACGGTAGCTGGAAGTGTTACCTAGATTGACGTTGGCTAGCGTAGTAAATAGAGATATGAATCTACTTAATTTGACTAACGAAATGGCCTTTGATAGAGCCGCGTGGAGAAGAAAGATTCATGTAGCCGACCCCATTTGATGATACTTAAGGCTTGGTTTGGTTTGGTTTACCTATCTTACTTTACTTTCGGACTCTGTCAATCAGTTACATTTTATTTTTAAAGTTTTTCAAAAGTGATGATATTTTGAAATTGTGAGTTTCTGATACTCTCAGGTAGTTGATATAATTCAGAAACCTGCAATGAAGAAGGAAACAATCACAGATGATCTATTAATCCTTTCTTGCGAACAGGACTATGCAGTATGCACGCCATTCCTGGAGAAAGGTACAGATTCATCCACCATTTTATCCCTTCTTTGAGATAATTCTTGATTGCAACTAAGTGGGATTTGCTTGTATTATTGCAGGAGCAGCAGTTTACAGTTCAGAGCTTCTTCTTAATGGGATCATTATGCAGAAACTAGAGTTTGAGAGGTCAGCATGGCAAAAAAACCATAGTATTTTCTATCGTTCTTGTTTTATCCTTATAGACAGGAATATAGCTAGAAAACCATATGATTTTATATGCCTATATGCATGAGAAATAAGGTGCAAAGTTTTGCTTATGACCTAGTTTTAGAGCTAATAATTAAATGGGTAAAGTTATGTGTAATCATAATTAGCTAATGCCCATAAGTACCTAAAACTGTGGAACTACTTTTGAAATACTAAAAATAATGCTTAGTTTTGTTGCTTTTCTATGAGTGAACTCTTCTGGCTCTCATCCTATTCTTCAGATAGTTGGCTTAGTTGATTATTATAACCATTCAGTTCATATACTGTTGAACCTTCTCTTCACTTGGTGGTGGTTCAACAAATCCTATAGATCAAATACTGTTAAAAAAGAACGAAAAATGGCAAAATATAGATTCAAATCTTATGAACTCAATTCAAGATACATGGTTCCAATTTTCCGTTGAGCAGTATTACCAAATCCAACAATTAAAAGGTGAGTTGGACCCAATGAAATTAATCAGATCTCCTTTTTCTTGAAAATTTGACTGGTGTTAACTGCCCGGTTTCCTTATACATGCTTTGCGTTTTCCAATAACAGGCAACGACTTTTCAAAAAAACATCTCAAGAGTAACTGCTCTAGCGCATAGGTCTGAATGAAGGCAGTGACTCTATCTTCGTGTAGTTATGTGTTAGTAGTTTTTCCCATTTTTGTATTTGGGATGTGGTGTAAATAGGGATGATTGTTTCTAGGTGTGCATTGGGTGTGGCTAATGTCGGTATAAAAACAATATGCAAATGAATCATGGATGTAATTTTCTTGATGATATATATAGCCTTGTTTGCCAGCCCTTTGTTGATATTCCTTGATTTACTCACAGCATTATTAAATCTTATTCTTGATCAGACCAAAAAATAATAATAGTTTCACTGTTGATGGAAAACAACAAAGTTCATCCTCAATAGTGTTGCCCTTTTCAGTGACCTCAGGTGGGTGGTTAATTAATTAGGTGGCAACCACAATGACTGTAATATTCTAATAATTCAATTATATTTCAGCTGTTTTAAATATACATAATCTAATCACAGAATCAAAAATAATTCTTTTATATGGAGCGAGACTCACACATTTGATAAGACCCACCTTATATGAGAACTACGTTTAGTTTTGTGATTGAAAAGTACACTTAAAATAGGGCGAATTACACTAACAGTCCCTCTAGTTTGGGGTTCGTGTCACTTTGGTACCTGACTTTTCAATTATGATAAATTTTATCATAAATTTTTAATCTTGTTCCAAATAAAGACAATTGAAGATATCATTAGTCAATTTCAAAGGCAAAATCGTCAATTTGATAAAATATAAACTAATTTAACAAAAATAAATGTCAAAAAAATATTATTGAATTTTTAAAAATAATTTCTACCTACCAAAGATAAAATTATGTAAAATTGATAAATGTTTTGGACATTTATTTATTTATTTATTTATTTATTTTACCAAATTAATTTTTATTATAAGTTTGGATGATAATCATGTAATGGGTGGTAGTTAAACTTTTAATGTGTAATCGATATATTTAATATAAAAATATATATATAAGTAAATGTCTAAAACATTTATCAATTTTACATAATTTTATCTTTAGTGGGTAGAAATAAATTTTAAAAATTCAAAAATATTTTTTAGACATTTATTTTTGTCAAATTAGTTTATATGTTATTAAATTAACGACTTTGCTCTTGAAATTGAGCAATAGTTTTTTCAATTGTCTTTATTTGGAACAATATTCAAAATTCAAGGTTAAATGTATCACAATTGAAAAGTTAAGGATCAAAATGACACAAAACGCAAACTATAAAGAACATTAGTGTAATTCACCCTTTAAAATAAGAAATTTCATAATATTTTGACTTAACTAGAAGTTCTTATTTGGATTAGATGGCATAATTCATTAATGGCTGGAATATATATATATATATATATATTTTTTTCAAGGAACTTCCCATTCTAACTCTTTAGGATTGTTTGGTGAAATTTATGGTAAACAAAAAATTAAAAAGAATTAAGTTAAAAACATTCATCTCTTAGCCTCTTAATAATTAACTTTTTAAAATTATTTTTATCTCAAAATTTATAAATAGAAGTTGTATCAGATATATTGAAACAAAATTTTGAAATTAAAAAGGTGCAATCTTAATAAGTTGGCGGCTATTTTTTATTTGATTTTCTGAAATTATTTTCATAACTTTTTTTTTGAAAAAATATAAACTAATTGGATGAAAACAAACATTAAAAGATATTTTTTAATTAAAATAATTTATTTTTACCCTCCTGAAAGAGCAAACTACATAAAAATGATTAATTTTTTAAAAAAAATTTACCAATTTAATTTTGGATTTTTTAGAAAAAAATTCTTAAAAAGATTATGAAAATCAAGCTAAACAGAGCTGCAATTTTTCTTTTTCACTGAAAAACACTAATCCTATATCTAATTTTTGCTAACATAATCAAAAAGGGATTCTAACCCAATTATTCACAATTGAGAGTATACAAATATACACTCTTAAAATATAGATCTACAGTTGTAGAGTGTAGATCTAGACTTTTTATATCCGAAATAAGCATTTTGAGAGTTTTCTCCTTCGATTTCGACATAGATTTTTTGTTTTGACACCCACAATGGTTCCCTCCTCTCTCAACCCTTTTCCCATACCATTGTGGGTATCCTTCCTTCTCCAGCGGCAGTGGTGGCAGAGATGGGCAGCAGCGACGGGGACAACGTCAACGGAGACGGCAGGCTTTCAAGCAGATCTTGCTTTCCAAACCACATCTTTGAACATATCGGTAGTTTTTCCTAGATCGTAACTGTTTTTTTGGCGAATTTCTTTTTTTGTTTGTTGTTTGTTTTTTGTTTTTTGTTTTTTTGTTTTGTTGGCATGGCCCTTTGAGATCTTGATTATATACTGTCATTATCTTTTATTACTATAATGTTTCCCATGTTCTCAAACAAACATACGTTCTCTGTTTTCAAAGTGTCAGACTTGGAAGTTGTAAATTCATATTCAGATTGAATATCCAAACCTATAGTAAATTAATGACTGCAAAAAGCCTAAGCGTAATAACAATAAAAGCATGATTTTCTGAGGCTGGAGATGACAAGAAATAACCACACATACTCCCACAGTTAGTTCTTATTGAACTCTTCTGATCATATAGGAATAAAATCACATACACCAAGGCCCAGTGAAGTGCAAACTCACACAACACACCACCAAGTCCTTACTTTTGAATGAGTGATGAAGATTTATAAGGCTCACTTGGGAACACATGACCAATGTGTGACATACAAATTTGCACACAAAAATTGTATAGTCAACCATTTATGAAGACATCATGACTAGTTTTCTCATCATGGAAATGAAAGGAAAAGAAGTACCCTCCCATTGTCTTCAAATTCCTAATCTTTATATTCAGAAACAATACAATTACATACTTACATTTTAAAGAAATGCCAAACTTATAATAGCAAACATAAGAAAACCCTTTACATGCAGATCCAGAACCAACTGACACCAAATTTCCATAAAACAGAACAATGTGCATGATTTAACAATATTATCATTTCCATTCCATATATTAGCATGATTTAACAATTTTTTTTGTCTTATCTATAGCAACAAACTATGACCTTGTTCTATTTCTTCTGTGTACAACTACAAGTTACTGTTAAAGAATCAGAAGAACCCAAACTAAAACCTTCCAATAAGTTAACATGAACAACATATAAATGATGTGGTTTAATTTAATACAAGAAATGCTTGATATGCATACAACTGGGGGGGAAAGATGGAACTGACCAAGTTCCTGAAAACCGCATGTGTACGGCGTCCCTATGATATAGACCAATATCCTGCAAGGTCACTGCTCAGCAAGAAGTTCCCTCCCAAGTCCCGCCTCGCCTCGGCTCCACCAACCCAACACCCAAAAGTGCTTCTTCCTCTCCAACAGATCCAATAATCTATGTATTCTATACAACACAAGTTCCAAATCTATACAACATATCCCAACTTAACAAATGAAAGACATATACAAATTATCAGAAAAATTAGGAAAAGTGAGTCCTACTCAAAAAGACTTCTTACCGTAAACATTTTACCGCCAAAAGCTCCTTACAACAAAAAAGGTGGAAAAAACAAAATTTTAAGAAAATTATAACAATACAGATGGATGCCAATTTCCAGCCTCACAAGCAAGACAGATTTGGGAGAACAGCTAAGTCCACCCGGCTTCATAAGATTTGACGATTCTCAATTCTTCAGATCAATGAACAAGAAGAGGCATTTAACTTCAACCAGAGAAACCCATCTCACAATAGCATTTCAAGTATACAATCTGGACACTCCAGTCCAAGTAGGCAACAAGTTGCCCAACAAATATGTGTACCATTTGAATTGGAGAAGACTAGTCCCTGCAAGCCAAAGACGAAAGATATTAGCATTCACTGTGATAACAGAACTGACAAGCAATAGCGGCAACACGTACCACAAAGTACATGAATACAAAAATATTTGTGAGAGAGAGAGGGGGGGGTCTCCATGGTCAAAATCTTCCATTAAGCAATGGGAAAAATGAAGTCAAACACAAGTGGAGTTCGGCATGACACACATATTTACCTTTCCACAAGTTAAAAAGTGATGATGTAGACGAGCATCATGCGAGTGCAAGAAGAAATTGCAAATTTCAAAAGTACATTTCAGTTTCCATTCCAACATCTGAAAATATTTTCATAAAAAGCCAAATAACTGAAATTGTATTGTCCATTTAGGCTGCGAAGTTCAAAGTGATTAAGCATATTCCCTCTCAAGTTTCAACGACATTATTCAGATCATGGGTTTGATCTCATTTTCACAATTCATTGAACCAGAGTAATAATGGTTTTCAACGACATTATCCCACCCTTTGGATCTATCATTGGTGATGATGTTCAACATAAAAATAATGGTTTTTTCTATTTCAATCAATAAAATTTGGTGGCTTTTGGCAAACCAACTAAAAACTCTATCTTTTTTTTTTTTTTTCAGCTGGCACAAAATATCTCATCCCGATTAGGAGCTTGCCCACCGTCATTAGTACACTTGGTTGTCAATGGAAACCCACAAAGTGCAAGATTACCCTCGTAAATTGATGGATCAATGAGGGTTTGGAGTTGGTTGCTTGTGGGGATTTTACCTGACAAGTCGTTATATGACAAATTCAAGTGATTTAAAAAAGTTAAGGATGTCA